TGTTTGTAGCTCAGGGTTGAACTGTGGGAGCCTTGGTCCTCACTGAACTTGGTTGTTTTCTTGCAGGCGCTTCATTACCCAGCTAGGTAATGTCATCAGTGCTAGAAGGGAGTGGGGTTTGGGAGGAGGAGGAGGAAGGACTGTGAGGTCCTTGGTGCCCTCTGAGCTTGGTTGCTTTCATGCAGGTGTTTCATTGACCAACTAGGTAACATCATCAGTGCTAGAAGGGAGTGAAATTTGTGGAAAGGAGGAGGAGGAAGGACAATGGGGTCCTTGCTGCTCTCTGACCTTGGTTGTTTTCATGCAGATGTTTCATTACTCAACTAGATAACATCATCAGTGCCAGAAGAAAGCAAGGTTTGAGAAGAAGAGGAGTAGTAGAAGGGACTGTGAGGTCCTTGGTACCCTCCGAGCTTGGTTGCTTTCATGCAGGTGTTTCATTGACCAACTAGGTAACATCATCAGTGCTAGAAGGGAGTGAAATTTGTGGAAAGGAGGAGGAGGAAGGAGCGTCCTTGCTGCTCTCTGAGCTTGGTTGTTTTCATGCAGATGTTTCATTACTCAACTAGATAACATCATCAGTGCCAGAAGAGAGCAGGGTTTGAGAAGAAGAGGAGTAGTAGATGGGACTATAAGGTCCTTGGTGCTCTCTGAGCTTGGTTGTTTTCATGCAGATGTTTTTGGGGTTTAGGGAAGAAACCACAGAGTCAGGTAGAGTATTCCAGACATTTGACCACTCTGTTGCTGAAGTCGTATTTCCTGCAATCAAGTTCGGTGCGATTAACCTTGAGTTTGTATCTATTGTTTGCTCTTGTATTGTTATGGTTGAAACTGAAGTATTCATTGACTGGTAGGACATTGCAATGTATGCTTTTATATACTAAAATTTATGATTTTATATGCTTAGATCGGACTGAAGGCAGTGTAGTTCTAGATTTTCTAGGTCTAGAATTTCGAGTCTGGTGGCATAAGGTATTCTGCAATGAGTAGAAGAGTGGAGAACTCTTCTTGTGAAATATTTCTGGACTTTCTCAACTATGTTAATATCAGATACGTAATGCGGGTTCCAGACTGATGAGCTTCTTGCTGGTCCTCTTTGCTCCAAGTACCCCCGGACCATCCCAGGGTGCCCAACGGAAAGGGAGGGGGGAGCAATGCGGCAGCTTGCAAACCAAAACAGCATTCCATAAATATTTTCAAAGATAGTAACTAGGTGACTGAGATTTTCTGCCATGCAAAATTCTAACTGGAGAGCATGATTGAGGACTCTTGGCTATGGATGTGTCCCATTGGAGAATATGAATTACGATACACCCGGGGGTGGAGGGAAAACCAGGGTCAAGGGCAACAATGAATGATGCGTCTCAGAGTCGGCTACACCCAGGCAATGCCAGACCTTTTAACTCCCAATAAATCCTTTTGAAGTTTTAGAAGTTTGGCTCGAGACTCATGACTTAAATGGGGTTAAGTGCTGGAATCCTGACAGTGATTAGATAATGGGAGAGTTGATCTCCAAGCTGAGACAGCTCCAAATGAGGCCACCATGGAATGAAAGTATCTAAGCCTCCTGGTACTTTGGTGGCCTCTCCAGGATCACAATCTTACAAAGACGAACCTAGATTCTAATGCGTTTCTCATCCTCCTTAGGTCAGAGCACTAGTTTCAAATCCTCTTTCCCTAATCTCTCATTTGGACAGTCCTCACAAAGTTCTCCTCTTTTACATATTTATGCACGCATGAAATGTAATATCGGCTTCCCTAATTGCAATCCCAAATCTGATGAAGACTCATAGGCATCTTCTGAATTCGCTCTGGCTTTTATTGTATTCCTTCAGCATTATGCAGCCCGTAGATCCTCATGGCACCCTCGGTAGAAGGCTTTATCCTATCAGAGCCCTGCTGTAACAGAGTCTCCTCCTTCCCTCTTTGCTCATTAGCATATGTCCATCACTCTCATCTCTTAAGCAGTGGGTGGGGGGAGGCTTATTGCAAACGAGCGGCAGCTGCCAAAAAAGCCAACCCAGTTATAGGCTCCATAAACAGAGGAATAGAATCAAGATCACGTGAAGAGTTAATACCACTTTATAAAGGCCTTGGTAAGGCCACACTTGGAGTCCTGGATCCAATTTTGGTCACCACAATGTAAAAGTAGATGTTGAAGCTCTAGAAAGAGTGCAGGGAAGAGCAACCAAGATGATTAGGGGACTGGAGGCTCAAACATATTAAGAACAGTTGCTGGAACTGGGTATGTCTAGTTTGATGAAAAGAGATACTAGGGGTAACATGATAGCAGTCTTCCAATATCTCAGGGGTTGCCCCAAAGAAGAGGGAGTCAAGCTATTCTCCAAAGCACCAGAAAGCAAAACAAGAAGCAACAGGTGGAAACTAATCAAGGATTGAAGCAACCTAAAACTAAGGAGAAATTTCCTAACAGGGAGAACAACGCACCAGTGGAACAGCTTCGCCTCGAGAAATTGTGGTTGCTCCATCACTGGAGGCTTTCAAGAAGAGACTGAACAGCCTCTTGTCTGAAATGTCATAGGGTCTCCTGCTTGAGCAGAGGGTTGAACTAGAACAGAGGTCTGCAACCCTTGTCCTTGGACTGGCATTGGTCTGTGATATGCCAGGAACAGGGCCGTGGCAAGCAAGACCCCAGGAGGAGGAGAGGAAGAGGAAGAAGAAGAAGAAGAAGAAGAAGAAGAAGAAGAAGAAGAAGAAGAAGAAGAAGAAGAAG